TCATGCGCTGTTGGGCACACAATGAAATATGAGAGCGTACGACATGCAGGTGCACAGAGCATCAGGCGTGGAGAGACCTGAGAGCAATCTGTTAGTTGGCAACTGGTGAACAGGATGTGTGTGTATGTGTGTGTGTACGGTTCAGTGGGCTCTACGTTTATGAGAGTGAAATCAAGACAGAGTGATGGAGATACTGAGTGGACTGAAAAACAAATAGGGGTTAGAAAGGAAACAGTGTCATTTTAATTCAATGTGACAGCACGCTGCCTATGGTTTAAAGCCAAGGGTAGTTTACTTCCTTGTCTAAAGTAATGACACAGATTGGAAGTTACTTCAGTGCCACACCCTAACCTCAAGGAAATTGTTAGAAAGCTGTAAAAGGAAAGGAAATGAAAAACACGGGGCTTCCCTCGCTGCTAACTGTAAGAGCGTTACAGTGAAAAAGGGCAAACTTTGAATGAAATGTTGGACAGAGGCGAGTCCCACTGACGCGAAACTGAAGACTCATTGTCCAGGAGCAGGAATGTGCTGAGCAGACAGGGGAAAAGTACAGGGAAAAGGAAAAGTGGGAACAGAAAGAAGAAATCAGAGTGAAGAACTGTAGAGGGAAGCAAAAAAACAAATCCGTGATAAGGCTTACCTTGGGAAGAGAGCTGGCGGTGGCACAAAACACGTCTGAGCAGGGAGTGGAGAGAAGAGCAGCAATGCAAGAAGCAGCACGACCTTAAACACACACACAGTTAGGCAAGATATTTCCTGCCTCAGTCTGTGGCAAGCTAAGCCCAGCCCTCTGACTCAAAAAACCCACAAAATCTACATTTAGTCAAGACTCAGAGGGAAGGCAGAACTGCTGCTTCACAAATCCACCAGCCAGCTGTTGAAAGTGGTTTCAATCCATAATAGTTTGTGTCTTGTGTCAGAAATGTGAAAATGTGGTGTAAAAAATAAATGAAAAAATAAAAAAATAGTAGTTTTTTTCTTGTCGTTTAATGAAACCTTCTTCATTTTAACAATATGAGTTCAGTCGGCCTCTCTGTGACTCACAGAAGTTAACAGTTTTCCTGTAATTAGTCAAACTCGGATTCTCCCAGTCGGACGCGCCCATCTGTGTAGCTAATCAGTTCATCACAAGGAATGCCACCCACCCACCCGCTTGCACAGCGTTACATGCACATAGTGGGAAACCTGTGATTCATCCTTTCCACAGGTAAAGGATCTCCCAACAGATAAAATGAGCTCTTATCTGGACAGAGGCGTGAACAGCATGCTGTCTGGATGACTTTTTAATTTGCTGTCTACTTATTGATAAAGTGCAAATGTTTTAAGTTTAGAAAAAATTTATTCAGATAAGGATTGATGGCTGGAATTTCATTTCATAGGATCGATTAAATCAAACAAAATGCATAAAATATTCAGGAGAACTTTAAACCTCACGCAATCAAGCTACGCCGTGCTGTCCACAGTGTTCGCTCACCCATCCAAATGAATTAATTCAGTTGTTCCAATCGCTTCCATGACCACAGGTGTATAAAATCGAGCACCTAGTCGTGAACACTGCTTCTACAAAGAATGGTGAAAGAATTGGTTGTTTTCAGGAGCTCGTGAATTTCAGCATGGTACCGTGACAGGATGCCACCTGTGCAATAAGTCAGTCGTGAAATTTCCTGGCTACTAAATATTCCACAGTCAGCTGGTATTACAACAAAGGGGAAGCGACTGGGAACAAAAGCAACTCAGCCAGGAAGTGGTAGGCCACATAAAATCACAGGCTGAGCAGCTGCATCCAAGCCTTACACCACCAGGCGCAATGCAAGGCGTCAATGCAGTGGTGTAAAGCACGCTGTCACTGGACTCAGTGGAGACGTGTTCTCTGCAGTGATGAATCACACTTCTCTGTCTGGCAAGCCAATAGGCAAGTCTGGGTTTGGCAGTTGCCAAGGGAACGGTACTTGTTTGACTGCATTGCACTGAATGCAAACTTATTTGGAGGGGGGATTATGGTGTGGGGTTGTTTTTCAAGAGTTTCTGGAAACAGTTTGGGGATGGCCCTTTCCTGTTCCAACAAGACTGCAAACCAGTTCACCAAAGAAAGGTCCATAAAGACACATTTGGTGTGGAGGAATCTGACTGGCCTGCACAAAGTCCTGACCCCAACCCAACAGAACACTAGCGCTGTAACTAACGATTATTTTTATAGTCAACTAATCTGCCTAATTTTTTTTCTCTTCAATTAGTCAACGATTATTTAATCTGCACTTCCTGTGGGCAGGAAGCTTCTCCAGCACCTCACCTACTCAAGTTTTCCCACCTGTGTCACACTTTGTTGCATGAAAATGAAGTAAATCAGAATATTAGGAAATAGAAATTAATGTGCAAATAGGAATCCAAAAATTTCCATGAGTTCAATTATAGCTTCAAATTAAATGAAAAAGATTTTATTTGCTGGTCAAGACAAGTTAGCAAAGTTTCCATATAGTTTAGTTCATGAATTGACGATTGCAGTGTCCATGCTCTGGAGTAAGGCCTGCTCTTATCTTAGAGCTGCTGATAACTATGCTGAAGATGCTCTCTGTCACGATTTCAACCATTTGAGAGGTGCACGAGCCTCTTTACAGGACAAACTCATCTATGTGCCTTAATACTGTAAAACAGAATTAGTTACTAAGCGCAAATTTGGTTGCGTATCATAGTTTATCAGGTGGTGTAACTTTCATTTCCCAATAAACTGTTTGTCCGACCCACAGATTAACGGCCTTAAGTTGGGTGGAAGAGGTTTACTCTTCAGAATAAACGCTAATATTAATGTGAGAAAAAACAAACAAACTCGTATACAGTGTAGCTGCTCCTGTTTATTGGTCGCATTTCACTTATTAGCTAACAAAACTAAAATCGCGTTGGCTTAGCTGGCATCATGCTGAGAGGTTTCCAACTGTCTGTACAGTAACAGAAATATAAAGACGCTATGAGCGTGACGCACTAGCTTAACTATCTAAAACCCATTCAGAGGTGACGTCACAGCTCCAGGGTGCCGGGGGTTTGTTATAAAAGGAAAAGGGTCGGCTGACATCATATTAAATGAAATATCACTCAAGAGTATATGTGTGCAGACTTTATTCTGTTATACTCTATTGTGATTCTTGCGTTTGTCACTACATGTCTGTGGAAAAAAACAAAACCTGTCCTTAAGATTAAAACTTCAGCATCTGACATTTTGCAGGTCTGTTATCTTTGGTTCATTGCAAAAGCTACATGTGGAAATTTACAATAACATATAAGCCAACGGACCAAATCATGTAGGAGAAGCACATCTACCAGAACAGCACAAAGACCCTCTGGCTGCTTCAGCAGTTGTATCCTGCTATTACCAGCCTTCAGAGCTGCCGGAGTGAAGTACGTGTAATGTTCAACAAACCAATTAGAGATGATCTGAGCTTCAAACTGGTTCTTGAAGTGGTTTATGACTTAAAGGACTTGATTTTAGCTGAGTCAAAGTGGGATTATCAGTGTTTAGCTGAACTAAACTATTTTCTTTTTTGTTTTGATTTTTTTGCATACCTGTTAAACACCTTCATCCTTATAGCTGTTTTACCTGCTACGCCTCGCTGTGGTTCCTGAGATGAAAGCTTCAGTCAGTCACAGCTGCAAACCAACACCATGTTCACCTTTTCATTTTATACATATTACCTGTGCAGTTTGCACACTAACAGACGGCTCTAATGTCCACTGAAGGACTTTACACTTCCTACAAACTGACTGGTGAACTCAGTGAGCAGGTGAGCCCACGAGCTGAGAGCGCCCCCAAGAGGACGAGGGGCGAGTAGATTGATTTGATTGATTAGCAGGCTGATTTTTTTACGACAGCAGCCACTATGGGAGTGCAGGGTAAACACAGCTGTGACAATTATTATTAATAATTATGCTTCTTCCAAGCTGTTTGTGCCATTTGTACTTTTTGACATAATGGGAATTTTGTTGCACTTCTTATGAGTGTTTTCTAACTCACTCTCTTGATTGAAAGTCAGTTACAATGTAACTTCAACGTAAAGTTTTTAAGTTTTAATAAGATTGAACAAAAACAAGGATATGTGTGTTTTGATGTTTTAAATGCAGTAAAATTAAGTTTATTTAACGATGAGGTGTCTAAATTTGTTATGTACATCCTGACAATGCTAGACTTCTTTTGTTGTGTGAGCGCGTGTCCAAGTGTATACATTTGTGAAATAATGCACATATCTGTTGTTTATATATATTTTTTGTATTAGAGCATATTTTTCTATTCATCTGTCCTGTAGTGCTAAATCACAAAAGTCACCTCAAAGAGCTACAATAATACAGAGAGAAGGCCAACAATCAGATGACCCCCTCTGGGTTTCCTGACTTTGTTTTACATCTGAGTAACTGGGAAAAAAAAAACAGAATAAAAATATTTATTATGTTATGATTGTTGTTACACTGACAGACAACATAAAAACCTTCTCAGGTGTTTACATTTAAGACAGACTGGATTTCATCATATTGTGCGCATGTGGTCAGAGACAGTTGTAAAGCTGTTTGTAGATTATGAACAAATTCAGGTAAGAAAATATTGCTGAATTACAGATTCTTGCAAAGGCATTAATGTCATGGGATGTAAAGGCATTAGGGGAGCATCTAGTGGAGTTCGAATATAACTGTAGTCTGTTTTTGCTCCACTTGGAAGAAGTGAAACTAAGATTCAAACATGAGCGATGAAGAAACGATTTCACATAAAGAACAAACAGGAAATGTAACACTGTCAATTCAATTTATTCACAAATCGACTACAATACAAATTCAAACATGATCATGAATATGATGCAGTTCTTTGTGAAATAATGATTTGTGAGTAATTTGTGAATGTGGACTATATATGAAATACATACAAAAGACATCATCATACTACCCTAAATCACTCAAAAATCTTAAGAATACCTTAAAGATAACACGAATCCAGTGACATCTGAAGAGTGACATGTAACACCCCCCCCCCCCCCCCCCAAAAAAAACCAAAACAACATTATGCATTACACGGGCATTATGAAGGATGTTACATTTAAACAACTTCAGAAGTCTGTAATGAAGAAGAGGATTAGGGGGATCTACCTTGGACCATGATACAGCTAAATATAACTCTTTTTGTAACGTCTGCAATCTCCTAAAATGAGCAGGACACATATTACACCATGTAATTATCACAATGATTCACATTCAGGACAATTTCTGAATTTTAAAAAATAAACCAACATATTTGGAAACTTTTTTCATAAAACCATAAATTTGCCTCTTGGAAGTCACAAAGTCATCAAACCTTCCAAAATATTGCAGATTTTACCCTCTTGATAAAACTACTATTTATCTGCATACATACATTGTCAACATTTTTCTAGTTTCTGTTTGAGTTAAATACAACTACTTTTTTTATTATTATTTTTTAATTTTTGCAAACAATAACTTATTAAATGTATAATATGTTGGAGATTATCTAGTTTTCATGAGACAAAACAGATTTGTATTATTAGCAAACATTACTTTATATAAAATACTAGAGGAGTAAATAAAATCATTAACATATAGAAGGAAGAAAACTGGGCCTAATATTGATATGTGGTGCTTTTCTTGAATATTTGCTATTAACAGGCTAAATACAGGTACTATCTCTGCAATAATCCTATACTTCTGTTGTTAATAAAGCACTAAGAAAAAGTCTTGAGACCCCCCTAATTTATCTATATCTTGCTTCCAAACAGCCAGATTATCTTGTTGTTTTTTCTTGCTTTTGTTTGTTAGTTTTTGTTAGTTTTAGGGGTTTTTTTAAGTGGTCTTTTGCACAGCACTGGAGTTAACTAACAATTCCACTGAAGAATAAACTTTTTTCAGCTGCAGCATTCTATGAAATAAATATTCTCCCTGGTGTTTTGTTTTTGCCACATTTCATTGCATTTCAGCTTTATACGTTTTGGACCTTTGAGAATCTCGAGTTCGTAATAACTGAGCTGCCAGTGGCTCAGTGAGGCAGAAAAGCATCAACCAACCTGTTTTATGTGCACATGTAATCAAGTGCTGAAAATATTATTTGTAATAATGAATCAAACGCTCAAGTTCATATCAAAAGCATTTTTACAAAAACATAATCATGTTTAATCCTGCATTTTACACTTCAATTATAATGTCAGTGCTGCTGTTTTATCCATTTGATGATATGCTTTAAATACACATATCCCATAAAAACACTCATTAGACAGCATACACACTGATTTTGACCTTCTGTGTGTATTTATACTTGAACATCAACCTCATCTGCCTCTTCTTTACAATAGCAACAACAACAAATAAATAATAAGACGTTGGTCAGAGTGGTGCTCCAAAATGCAAAAAGGTAGAGTGTCTGGTTGCAGTATCTGTAGTCTGTAATCTGAAGTTGTTTATAATTGCTGTAGATCACTGCATTACCTGCAGAAATATGAGAGAGATCTCAGAAAATGAATGATTTTGGTGCAATATCAATTAAAGAAACAGTTGAATAGAATGTGTTATATATTTCTATTCTTCGGGCACTTGAGAGGAGAACAAACACAAGCTTTGCGATGAATCCAGTCGTTTTTAGCTTTCATTATTTCTATTTTCCTTATCTGTTTTTTTTTGGTGCAGCACCTAACTTCATCCACAGCTAGAAACAAGCGGTTTAAGCTCCTCCTTTAATCCCATCAGTACTTGAATTAGTATGATATTTTTGCTTAATTAGTCCTTTATTTTGCCAAGTTAAAGTCTCCTTGATGTTAAAAATGTCCATTCCCAGAGTACACTGGTCAGGTTTAGGTTTAGGATCTGAACTTATCACTTGGTTACTTGAATAATTCCTATATTAACTATACGTATAGTTTTGCTTTTGGATTTCGTTCTCTGTCATACTCGTTGCTTGCTTAATGTGGTATTTTCTGCTGTGCAGGCGTCATGTTATTTTGCAAGAGCTGCCTGCTGTGGTCAGAAATTGAGTAAAACCCTTAAAGCTTACCAGCAATGTACCAGCAAATGAAGAAGAGGGTAGTCACGGACCAACAAAACTCGTTACATGACCCGTACATACACCATGCAAAGAAGGCAAAGATGGGTCCACAAAGATAAATAGGGATGAAGGGAATTCCTGGACAGTCCTTGAAGTACTTCCCACCTTTTAGGCACAAAGACAAAGTATCACCAGAACTGCTTGCACGTCACCTGTTTGATGACTATCTTATTATAAACCTCTGGCTTTTCTCGTGAACTCTTTATTTGATCTAGTCTACACTGGTGTGGTGTATTGTTGGGGACACAGTGAAGGGCTCGCTCATGGAGTCACAGTTTTCTTAATTCAACTGTTAAGCTTTTACAACTTCTGCTTTCTTGAGCGATCAGATCCTAACAAAAAAGTGTGGAGCAAACAATCAATATGTGTCAATATGTGTCTTACTGATGCTGAGAGGTAGTCTCAGATGTTATGTATCTAATTTGTTTGGAATTCAGGCTGCAGAGGACAAAAACACCTTCAGCACCATCATTAGTTAAAGTGCAGGAGCATAAAGGGAAACTATGGTATTCTTACAACTATGCATGTCATTTTCTATTGTCTGGTCCTGTTATCTCTGTATGTGAAGCAACTAATCTGTTAATAATATCATAAAAATAACACATGCTACATGCACTGGTAATATATATTCAGATAAATTCAGTCTGAATGTGCTGCTTCTCTCACTTACCAACTATCACTTGAGCAAAGACTGTGACGAATAAAAGCACTAAGATGCAAACTGAAGGGAGACAGAATAGATTTTTAACATCACAAATGAGACGGCTCAACAGCTGCAGATGTGCTGCACAGGACTCTCTTACCTAACGATGCTGTTTGTTTTGCCATTGTGCCAACTTTCACCAGCACAGATCCAGACAGTCCAGTTGTTTTTATTTGTCAGGAAAATGAAAAGATCAGCCTGCCAGAGAAGAGAAGCGTTTACTATCCATACAGTCTTGCATAATGAGCAACCACCTAATCCCCCCCACAGAAAATAAAATCAGGTGTTACCTTTCTGCTGTGTAAGACACTCAGTTTATGTAAATGTTAGTAATGTGCCACAAAAAACATAAAAAAATAAAAAATAAATAAAATTCCCATAAAGGACAATGATAAAGTGGCTCCTCTCATTTGTACTGGCAGGAAGTCTACCACAAAACAAACAACAAATTTGTTTGAACATTTTTGCTCTTTTCTTTTTTTAAAAGTAACATTTAGTTAATGCAGGCTCCAGCCCCTCTGGATTGGATAAGGTGAAGAGAATTAATGGACAGAAGTTATTGCCTATTAAACATAAATGCAAGTATAAAAGAGTACAATACAGGATGCGTCATGAAGAACTCAACAAATCCATCAGTGGGACGATATGACACACAAGACTGAGTGTCATGTACTGATAAGCATGTAGAGATATTCTTAACTGGCATTAAAAGTACTCACAAGTACAAAAGTAGCATAAAAATTGTTATACCTTCATTCTCTTTATAAGGAAACGTGTTTACCTGGAGGTGCACTGAAAAAAGATGTGAAGATGTACCAAGGAAGAAGCCTGCGCCACCAAAACAACAATGCTGGAGGATTAGTGATGAAACAGAAAGTTATGTCCTCAGGAAGCCACATACTTGCAAGCGCTTCCTCTGGGGTTTAACTGCAGTTGGCATCTGTTTACAATGCATTACTGCTAATATTTCATTAGTCTATCACAGTTTTCTCTGATTTATTTTATAGAAAAAAACCTAAATAACAGTTTCCTCGTCTCCACTGAGCCCCCACTCATAAATAAAATTGCTAAAACTGCCACCCCAGCCTTCACTTTGCAAGCCTCTACAGTGGGGCAAAAAAGTATTTAGTCAGCCACCGATTGTGCAAGTTCCCCCACCTAAAATGATGACAGAGGTCAGTAATTTGCACCAGAGGTACACTTCAACTGTGAGAGACAGAATGTGAAAAAAAAATCCATGAATCCACATGGTAGGATTTGTAAAGAATTTATTCGTAAATTAGGGTGGAAAATAAGTATTTGGTCAATAACAAAAATACAACTCAATACTTTGTAACATAACCTTTGTTGGCAATAACAGAGGTCAAACGTTTACTATAGGTCTTTACCAGGTTTGCACACACAGTAGCTGGTATTTTGGCCCATTCCTCCATGCAGATCTTCTCGAGAGCAGTGATGTTTTGGGGCTGTCGCCGAGCAACACGGACTTTCAACTCCCGCCACAGATTTTCTATGGGGTTGAGGTCTGGAGACTGGCTAGGCCACTCCAGGACTTTCAAATGCTTCTTACGGAGCCACTCCTTTGTTGCCCGGGCGGTGTGTTTTGGATCATTGTCATGTTGGAAGACCCAGCCTCGTTTCATCTTCAAAGTTCTCACTGATGGAAGGAGGTTTTGGCTCAAAATCTCACGATACATGGCCCCATTCATTCTGTCCTTAACACGGATCAGTCGTCCTGTCCCCTTGGCAGAAAAACAGCCCCATAGCATGATGTTTCCACCCCCATGCTTCACAGTAGGTATGGTGTTCTTGGGATGCAACTCAGTATTCTTCTTCCTCCAAACACGACGAGTTGAGTTTATACCAAAAAGTTCTACTTTGGTTTCATCTGACCACATGACATTCTCCCAATCCTCTGCTGTATCATCCATGTGCTCTCTGGCAAACTTCAGACGGGCCTGGACATGCACTGGCTTCAGCAGCGGAACACGTCTGGCACTGCGGGATTTGATTCCCTGCCGTTGTAGTGTGTTACTGATGGTGACCTTTGTTACTTTGGTCCCAGCTCTCTGCAGGTCATTCACCAGGTCCCCCCGTGTGGTTCTGGGATCTTTGCTCACCGTTCTCATGATCATTTTGACCCCACGGGATGAGATCTTGCATGGAGCCCCAGATCGAGGGAGATTATCAGTGGTCTTGTATGTCTTCCATTTTCTGATGATTGCTCCCACAGTTGATTTTTTCACACCAAGCTGCTTGCCTATTGTAGATTCACTCTTCCCAGTCTGGTGCAGGTCTACAATACTTTTCCTGGTGTCCTTCGAAAGCTCTTTGGTCTTGGCCATGGCGGAGTTTGGAGTCTGACTGTTTGAGGCTGTGGACAGGTGTCTTTTATACAGATGATGAGTTCAAACAGGTGCCATTCATACAGGTAACGAGTGGGGGACAGAAAAGCTTCTTACAGAAGACGTTACAGGTCTGTGAGAGCCAGAGATTTTCCTTGTTTGAGGTGACCAAATACTTATTTTCCACCCTGATTTACGAATAAATTCTTTACAAATCCTACCATGTGGATTCATGGATTTTTTTTTCCACATTCTGTCTCTCACAGTTGAAGTGTACCTCTGGTGCAAATTACTGACCTCTGTCATCATTTTAGGTGGGGGAACTTGCACAATCGGTGGCTGACTAAATACTTTTTTGCCCCACTGTATGCTTCCTGAGTGAAATCATCAGTCTCCACTGTTTCTCTTTTGTGACACCAATAACATTGGCAATTTAAAGGTTTTCCCATAATGAAAGGTGTATTCTACATACCAAACAGAACTACATTGTATATGAACCAACCTGTTTAAAAGGGTTTGAACGAGTGTAATTTTATTACTTTCCCTAAACTGGCTAGGCAGATAAATGGTTAATTTATCATCATTCATTAGATTTTTTTTAATCATGATATATAATAGGCTCTTATTCAGTGGTTTCAATGGTCCAGATTAGTCAGTTGTCAGTGGCAGTTGACTATTCACAGACACTAACCCTTTTCAATTCAATTTTATTTAGGTAGCGCCAAATCACAAGCGCTTTATATTGCGAGGTAAAGACCCAACAATAGCACAAAAAGGAAACAAGTGACCCACTATGAGCAAGTGCTTTGGCGACAGTGGGAAGGAAAAACTCCCCTTTAACAGGAAGAAACCTCCAACAAAACCAGGCTCAGGGAGGGGCGGGGCCATCTGCTGTGACCGGCTGGGTTAAGGGGAGAAAGACTGGACAAACACAGGGTGTGGAAGCGAGCCAAGCAGGAGAAGTAATAACTAATAATTTAAAACAGAATGGTGTATAGAGGTGTATACTTCAATTCTTACCCATAGTCGTCTTGCACAGAAACAGATATTTGAATAAATAAGCTTTGATATTGAGACAGTGCCAGATTGCAAATTTTAAACATCAGATACACTAAAAATATCTTTACTGTCCATTGTGCGATTGGGTCTAATGCTTTTTTGCACAGATAACTACCGTTTAGCGTGTAGGTCCAGAATTTCTGCTTTTCAGATAAAATCGATTAGCCACACAAAGCTTCCCACTCTTGTCTTTCGTTTTTATTTCTGACATGACAAAATACGGCAGGTCTTTTATTTCAAATGTCAAGATTCATGATCCATAACTTACAGCGATAAACCTCTGACAGACTTTAATGATGTGATTACATTTTGAACAGTGAAATACAGAGAAGTGTTGGTTTCCACATAAAACAAACCTACACTTTACAGAATTATAAAGTATGAAAAACTACATTACACAGGATTTTTTTTGGTATTCGTTTATTCCCTGATTGATACCATTACCAAAGTGACTTTTTCCATTTCATCATTTACACGCAATAACCCAAATTTGTGGCTCATCATGTAACAGCACATCTACAGATTCAGATGTATCAGCTGAATCCTGACACTGACTGATGCTGGGCGTTTATCAGCAAATAGGATGGCAGTAAACGATGTCATCTGTATCTGTAGCGTCACTAAAAGAGTTTAATGACGAGCTGAGATCCTTGTGAGAAAAACCTTCCTCACATTTATAATATAGACGTGTTTTCCTGGGACAAACATGGAAACAAATAGGAAAGTAAAAATAATTTTGCTGTTGGAATCAGCTCTCGCATAAATTCTTAAACACCAATGATCTTCTTGATTTCAGAATAAAATTCCTGTAAACAGTAGCTGCTGCAGAGGTATAGAAAATGCTCATCTTTCAACACAAGATGCGCGGTCAAATCACACACTTACAACATATTCGTAAACATATCTGCATCAGCAGCATATTCATTGTGTGCGTCCAGTACCGTCATCGTTTCTGAACGTCTTTACACGTCGTCATCGGGATCGGCACGGCCACACAGACAGAAGCAGAGGAGGACCAAGAAGCCGCACACGAAAAACAAACCGATCAGGATGTAAACCAGAGTGGTGGTCCAGAAGGCAAACAGGTACAGGGTCTTGTTGCAGTAGGTGCTCACATCTGTTGTGTTTTTGGTGTAGTTGGGCTGATAAATAGAGTAGATCCATACATTACCTAAAAAAAAAAAAAAAGAAAAAAAAAGAAAAAAACAAATGAAGTGAAGAATGAATAATAATTGTTTGATCTCTCTGCACATAAGCTGGACTTTAGTGTTTGGAGGCCTGACAGCTGACAGGATGTGCAAAGCAGCACTTGAAGCCTCACTGAGCTTAGACAACTATTCTAATTATCTTAATTCATGTTACATGTACCTCTCAGGGGTTTGTGTGTAGTAATCCATTAAAACAGCCATATATTGCCACCTAGTGGCCCTTGCATGTTACAACATTCTCATTCTCACCCTTCAAAAATATCTGGTTTTAGTAATCCAGTTTTTTCCTTCTCTGGATTATGTGCATCTAATCCATCTTACTTTTATCCTGGTTGTTCAAAACAGAACTTATAGGCTCACTCTGATCTAAGTACAGACTTTCAAACATGATCAAATTCAGATTACCAGCATTTTCATTAGGATGCTGGGGGTGCTAAAATAAAAAAAATAAAATTAAAACAAAATTAGAAAGATTCCCAATTAACTGCCTGCAGTTTGTTAACGCCCTATGACAAATGGAATATCTGTTCAGAACGCACCCTGCCTCTCGACCAATGGTAGCTTGGATAGGTTCCAGCGCCCCTGCGAGCCTGATAAAATTTGATTGAAGTTTGATAATAAACAGCTATTTTGGGAATATTTAATTAGCAAGAAATTTGCTATTTTATCCACAACCAAGTTTACCTCACCTACTTTATCATGACTCAGAAGCACTGTACTGCATGACCTAAATAACTGCACTACCACAAAAGCCACAATTAAGACAGATACAGTCAGCTACTGCTGGTGATGTTAGCTAGCAAAAGAGACAATTGAAAAGATGATTGAAAACATCAGCTGACACATTTTCTGCACTTTTTGGCTCTGACAGAAAGCAGCAAACACTGAGAGCCTATGGATAGATTTAAGTCTTTAATGAGTTAAGGTTTATCTACTGTGATCACCTTCAACATTCTTAATTCATAACCTTTTTTAAAATAATGTCTTGTCTTGATCTTATTAGACCTTCCAGATTACTTCTGAAAACTAGGCCCAGTTTCCCAGACATGGATTAATCCAAGTCTTACACCACCATCATTTTCTAACATAACTTTACTAAATTTACTTCCTTTATCCCTTCTTGTGAGGCGTTTGGATGCCCCTACCCAGGCAATACCAGTACTTGAGGGCGATAAGGCCATCGGGAAGTGTGAGACAATGAGGAAGCTGAGGAGCATTTTCTCAGAGACTTTGCACAACCTTAA